TCTCACTCCTGTTTGGTCCACTTCCCTCACTCCTGATTGGTTATTTCTCTCCCTCCTGATTGGTCCATTTCTACAAAGCTTGTTCCTAATTAGTCAACTTTTGTTATACCTTATTTGCATACAATGTTGCAAAGTGTAAACTGGCAGCCTATAAAAGCCTGTGTAAACCTACAGATGGGGTTCCAGAGCTTGGAGTGTTAACTCCTCTGGGCCCGCTGGCGTAATAAACCTGAGTTCTCCAACTGTCTGAGTGCTGCTTGGTCTCTCGCCTGGATCCAGGTTGCTGTCATAACTGAGCTGCAACATCGAGCTGTAACACTGAGCTATAACCCTGAGCTGTAACATTTCTTCTGCAACAAATATTTTGCCTATGTTTTCTTCTAGGAGGCTTATCATGTCTTATCTTATATTTAAGTCTTTAAGCCATTTTTAGTTTATTTTTTGTGTATGGTGTGAGGGAGTGTTGTCACTTCATTATTTACACTCTACTATCCAGTTTTCCCAACAGCAGTTGCTGAAGAGACTGTCTTTTCTCCATTGTATGTTCTTGCCTTCTTTGTCGAAGGTTAATTGACCATAGGTCTGTGTGTTTATTTCTGGGCTCTATATTCTGTCCCATTGATCCATATGTCTGTTTTTATGCCAGTACCACGAACCAGCTTATTCTTAATGATGTGACGGACTGACGAGATTTGACTAATGCTGTGACCACTAAGCTCTGACAACCCTTTGAGAGGGGCCCTCATAAAAAGAGGCTACTCTTAGAAAGCTTCAGTCCACTCTAGAGACCCAGATCCACTACTTAGCAGCAAAGTGCACTTGGGCAAATAATGTTTGGGTACAGTCTTATCTGTAGAACAGGATAATGTGACTTTTGGTCATTCAACAAGCAATGACTACTGCTGAGTGCCTGCTGTATGTAAAACTGATAAAGTAAACGAAGTATGATGCCAGCTCTGATATAATCTTTAGTCTAATTGGGGAGGTAAACATAAAATAAATAATCACAGATGCATGTGTACCTAAAAACAGTGGTAAGTGCAGCAAAGGAAAAGGACGACTTTCCTCATAAGGCTGTAAAAAGTCCACCTTAACTT